CAAGTCAAACGTCTCAGAGCTGTGGTCTTGATACCAGTCAAGAAACTCTGCTTTTACCTGGGCATCATACTGTCTACACCATAGTGTCCCACACCGGGCATAGGCCCCACGTAATTTTGGTTTTCTAAAGTGTTAAAAAAAAAAAAAAAAAAGTGTGACCCTGCTAAGAGCTTCCCATGACACCCTCATGGGCAAGAAGTTTAACGAGTCTATAAAACAAATGCCCATGGCCTTAACTTTCACACACATTAGTTTACTACCCTGAGTGATCAGTTCTAGGCACATCTTTTCCTTCAGTAGCTGTCTCACGACTAAGTACGCATCGTAACCTTTGGAATTGTGTGCTATGAATGTGTTGTCAAGGAACTCTTTGCCAATAAATGTCTTAACGAACAGAGAGAGACACTCACTACCCTTAAATTCCCAGGAGTCCTGGACAGCTGTTCAGCCTCTGCCCTCCACCCTGGCAGGAAAGTCTTCACCTTGTTCATGCAAAGGTTGTGAAGCACACAGCAGGCCACCATCACAAAGGGGATGTTTTGCTCATTGAGGTCCAGGTGGGTGATAAAACTTGGGAACCTCCCTTTTAAGCAGTCGAACACACACTCCACAATCATGTGGCACCTTCTCAGTCCGGTGTTGAAGTGCTCTTTGGTGGGGTCCAGGCTTCCTGTGTAGGGCTTCATAAGTCAAGGGAGCAACACATAGGCTGTGTCACCCAAGATGCAAACTAGGACACCTCAGTGGCATGCCCACGCTGTCTGAGCACGTTCTGCTCAAGCAGAGGCGGCAACAATACCTGCAAGAGTGGTCGTGACTGTACACTGTGTGGCAAAACTCACAATTTTTCGCTCCGAACAACTTTTTCGCATCCAGAACCCCATAGTAATGCTCATTGTGCAACAGGATAAAGTCAGTCTTGGGGTACACTGGGCCCCTCGTTTTAAAAAAGCCCCAGCTGCCTTTGGCCGTATACAGCTCCACCTGTATGTTAACTCCTAAATGCTGTTCAAACTTTGCTGAGCATAGTTTAAGTCGCTGAGCATAACCTTTTTTTGATCTGACCACCCCAGTTTCTCGTGGAGCTTTCTCGCCCCCTCTAACAATTCGGTGTCCATAGGTTTACGATCAGACATGACGGCCAAGAGCCCGCCCGCAAAACACAGATTGGTACCGGTGTAAGCCAGGTCTACTAAACCGTGTCTCTTTTTATGAATAATTTGACTACTAAGGATAGAATTTAAAACTCTACGAGCATCCCCACCCCAGTTTTTTACAACTGTCACAATGAGGCGCAATGTTCCATTGAGGTGCAACTCTCTATTACTCTGTAACAGCTTTGAGGTCTGGTTTAAAAAAAAAAATCCTCAGCAGACAGCTTGTCCCTAGTTCTTCTGACCAAAACCAGTAAAATTACAGCTCTCTAAATGTAACTGAACATAATCATCAGGGCCTACCCTACCATTAACGTCATCTAGAACTAACTGTATTCCCCTACGTATGGCTTCAATAACCTGTTCAGCTGAATTTATTTGCTCAAGATTGACAAAATAAAAAATTCCTCACAATACACTGACCCTCCCCCCCCCCAAATCTAGGTACTTCACGTTGCCAACTTCTCACTCTCTCCATATACAACCCTGGATTTTCAGGGGTACTTGGGGGTTCCTCTACAGGACCATCAGGGGCATCTTCTACCTCAGATGCTATTTCAGAGTCAGAGCGGTCTCAGAGAGTCATCAGGACTAGCCAGGGACCCATCTACAAACTCATCACCACCCCACAGGTCAGATAAGCCATTTTGTGAGCCTCCAGTAGGGGGCATCTGTTTTTGGTATTTTTTTCCCTCACCACTTCTTTAGCCTTTTTAAAAGATTTTGCAGTGATCTTGGCCTGGAACTTTTTGGCAGCCACCCGTTTATCTGCCAAATGCTGTCCCCCCCCTTTTGTTTACACCTTATCTGATGGGAACCCCTCAGGATGACCCTTTTGCCCAAGCCCCTTTCTTTTAGGACCCCTGAGGATACAGAGTTCACCAGTTTTCTGAATGAAGCATCAAACGCTTCCCCCATACTAGAATATGGGGGAGCTGTGATGAGCTTATGGTTTTGGGAGAATGGTTTGTCAGTCCTTGGTATTTTAGTCACAACCCCTAGAGTGCATGCTCTGGGTTTGTGAATGTGGGCGTTTTCTCACAGTTTTCTCAGGGCTTGGTGTGGCAGTGGCCGCTGAGGAACTGGAGTTGTGTTTGCGTGGCTGCAATACCTTGGCATTGCAGGAATTTTCAGTCCTTGGTTTTTTATATGCATCCCCTAGAGCGTGTGCTCCAGGTTTGTGCACATTCAGAACCCCTAGAGTACGTGCTCTGGGTTTGTGAATGTGGGCGTTTTCACTCACCGTTTCCTCAGGGCATGGTGTGGTGGTGACCGCTGAGGAACTGGAGTTGTGGTTGCATGGTTGTTTTTTTTACCAGAGTCTTTTGTTTTGTCCTTGGGTTTGACATATGTGAGGTTTGGACCGCCCAGATGCTTCCTCTGCACTCTTGGGCTGTTTTGCGTTGTTAAGGGTCTCAAAGCAGATTCCTGGTTCTTTGGCGGTTCTGGAGGAGGTGTCCTTGTAGCTCTGACTACAGCATTGTCAGAAAAGTTGTCCATGTCTATGAGGTGGGGGAAAAACATTTTACAAAAAAAAAAAAAAAAAACAAAAAAAACAACAAAAAACCCTGAATTTTATCATCTCTCTCGCCCACACCTATGTATTTACTTAAAACCTCAGAACAACCAAACCAATAAGCAAAATATATTTACTGGGCTTCATCGATCCATCAGTCACTGATGCTGGTAAATTTTCCTTTTCAGCTGTCTCTTTCCTTTCTTTTGAGCTTGTTTTCCCTCTGGTCTAAGGATCTCTCATGTTTTGACTGTACTGTGAAGCAAACAACATTATTATAAAAATACATGAAACCCTCTTGTAAACTTTAAAAAATCATTAGGGTGTTTTTCTATTTAAAAAGTTATAGCTTTAAAACAAAATAATCCATTTCAGGCAGTACAACAAACACCAGTTTTGAGTTTGTTTTTTTAAGTGTTAGAAATAAACAAACAAAAAACAACAAAAAACCCACAAACATTTTTAAATACATCTCATTTTGCAAAATAAAAACCAAAACTGCTTTTAAAACCCCTTGTTAGTTTAAACAAACCCAGTACTTAAAAAACCCTACACCTATGCCTTGCACAGCCCCCCCCCCCTCCACACACATACACTAAACAGCATCTTTATAAATCACACCAAACCAGGTTTGCAACCATATACTTTTCAAAACCCACATGCATTTAACACATCACATTTTGCACAGAAAAAGCAATCCACCAAACACTCTATACCAGCAGCTTGCCAACATATATTTTAAAACACGCCTGTGTCTGTCACAAACTCCATCACACACACCTTCAAAAAAACTCCCCACAACAGTTTTAAAACCATTTGCAACAACATTTTTTAAAAGCAGCAGTATGCAACAAAATGTTTTTTTTAAACCACTTATCTCTAGCTTAAGCCCCTGAATCACCCACAACTTAACCCCTACAGCCAGCTTTTTTTTTTTTAAATAAAACCCCCCAGGTAAAAAACACATCACATTTTTGTAACCATCCCAGATACTTTTAGCCTAACCCCACCACCTCCTCCCCCAACTCAGAATTGAACATTTTGCACAGAAAGAGCAACCCACCAAACACTCTATACCAGCAATTTGCCAACATATAGTTTAAAAACACCAATAAGCTTCCCCACAATTAAGTTTTTGAAAAAACCCAACTCACAATTTAAACATTACAATTAGTTAAAAGAAAAAAATAACCCACACGCTTTAAAAATAATTATAATAGTTACCTTCTACCACAGGGTAAAGGCATGCTGGCACAGGGCTATTCTGTTTTCCCCTATGTATATTTGGGACTATGGAATAAAGAACAAGCAAAAAATGTGAGTTAAGATTACCCCCAAATGCTTCAAACCCCATTTTAAAAACACATCACATTTTGCACAGTAAAAACCCTGTTAGTTTGAAAACAAGTCAACAGTTTGCAACCAAAAACTTTTTAAAAGCACGCCTATGTCTTGCACAGACCCCCTCTCTCACACACACAAACCCAGCAGCACCACATGTATTTAAAAGGCACATGTGTGCTTGGGCTTTTGGTTAGTTAGGATTACCCCCAGATGACTCAAACCCATTTTAAAACACATCACATTTTGCACAGTAAAAAAACCTGTTTGTTTGAAACAAGCCAACAGTTTGCAACCAAATACTTTTTAAAAACACACCTATGTCTTGCACAGACCTCATCTCTCTCTCACACAAAACCCC